ATAATAAAAACATTACCTCAGAAATACAGAAGGAAACTTGTATCTCAAGAAGAAATTGAATTTATCCAAGTATGTCATTGCTCTTTATTTTAGTACTATCAAAACACATGAACATTTTTGGCTTTTGGAATTTCATAGGCTGATTTTCTTGCTCTTCCATCACCTTGTCATGGTGGGTCAATAGCTAAGACCAAGATAGTCAGGCCCGGACTATGAGAAGTAAACCATGTACAAGCCCTCAGTAGAGGTACATGAAGGGATGTATGTGTGGAAGTATAATATGGGAAGTAGTAATAACCATAACACATGAAAGAAGCTCAGTAGAGTCCTTGGTAATTTTTCAGTGTGAAGGGCTGCTGAGACCAAGAAATTTGAGGCGCACCAATCAGGGTCAACCTTGAGTCCTCTCCAGATCAGAAATTGTTTATAGCATTGATAGGAGTGCCTAAGAGAAATGAAAAATTGCAATTGTTTTTTTAAACCCTAAAGGTCATTTGCTTAAAATGGTGTAAATTTGTATAGTGACCATGAAAACATTTCTTCTGTAAATTTAACACCTAATTTTTTGCTTTGTTTTTTCCTTTTCAGCGTGGAGGTCCGGAATAATCACGGACAGTGTGGCTGCTATTTGTCATCAGACAAAAAAATAGTCTTTACAATAAAGACTGTCCAAAAATCCAAAATGGCACATGAGAAATTATATAGCAAACAACTTGAATACTCTGCAAAAAGAAAAAAAATGAAATATAGAAAATTTAGATGGACAGTTGTATCTTCTAATATATGTGTCTTGGTCAGCTTCTGCAAAAGCTTACCTAATTGTTTATATGCTTATTAAAGTATACATTTTTAAATGTTAGCCTATTAATTTACTCTCAATTATCAAGTATTTCCAGTGTTGGAGCTATTAAAAGTACACAGTATCTAGTAAACTATCACAGGTTTTTATCAGAGAGAATTGCTGCTTGGGGAAGTGATTTTCCTGAAATTGGATGAGGATCAATGAAAGAATGACTCCATTATTTGTTCTTAGTTTTCTTAACATTTTTTCATTCACAGAGTTACTGGAGTATAACTAGTTTAAAAAGCATATCCTACACTAAGTAATAAAAATATAGTCAAGGTAAAACAGGTGACTTTGTGGTATTAAAACTGGGAGTTAAGACAAAAGATTATTTGTAACCTATATTCAGAAGAAAGTGCCGGAGTTTAAAATGGAAAATATGGGATCAAAATAAATATAAACCTAGGAATAGATGTTTGATTAGACATTGCAACTTACTATATTATTAGGGCTGTTAAGAAAGTCTCATTCTTTGATTTCTTTTACTGTTTTGATTGTCATCCTGTGTGCAAATTCTGAAAACCACTAACTTTCTCAAACTTAAATGTCTGAAAGTTTCATAAAATCAACCTAAATATTTGCCTTATTAAGGCAATTTATGAAACTTTAACAGGGTCTTAGAGTGCCAAGGGCATGTATTATTGTGAAAGTAAAGCCTCACAAAGCTAAATAAATTTTCTTCCATACCTTGAATGATTTCTAGAATATGCTTTAAGGAAGTCATTCCTAATAGTAAGGGTAGCTCATGGGTATTAGAGTCAAATTGTTGTTGAGTATTGCTCATTTGCCTGTAGACTAAGCTTTGTTTTTTTTTTTTTGTTTGTTTTTGTTTTTGTTTTGTCTTTTTGCTATTCCATAGTTTATCTGCTTCTCCTATGAGTTCTCTGTTGTGACCAGTATAAATGTTGCCCAAGTTGAATATGAGATAGGTGTTTGGTACCAGAAATAAGCTGTTCTGGTGACTCAGAAAAACAATGTGATTGATGATTTTTCTGTTATTTAAAAACTTACTTGGAAAATATTCTTTAAAGTCAGCCCTATTCTCTTTTTTTCCCTTATTTTTACATTTAAGTTACAGGAAACCAAGGTCTTTTTTTTTGCTTTCCGAAACAGAGTTGGTTCAGATCATGAAGAGTGATTTCTGTGATTCTGTGGGCCAGCAGTCAGAAGCCCCATACTAGAACTGTCTGAAGGCCATCTTTACTATAGCTCCAGCCATGAATGTCACAATGGAAAAAATTTATCACTTTTACAGAATTTATGAGCACAAGTATGGCAAAAAGGCATGTTCAGTGGGAATTGGTGTCATAGGGTCAGCTCCCAAAGAGGATGGTATAGAAGGAATTCTGGCTTAGCTTTAAATAAATAGCCTGTATTTTCATTTAGGAGATGAGCACATAAATATATATAACCATCCACAAATTGCTGAATTTGTTCAAGCTTCAGATTTCCTCCCTAATGCTATACAATATGACAGGATCCATTAGTGCATTGTGTATTACTTTTTTTCCCCACTTTTATTTGTCAGAGCACAAGCAGGGGAGTGGCAGGCAGAGGCAGAGGGAGAAGCACGCTTCCCACTGAGGAAGGAGACTGATGTGGCTCCGGATCCTAGGATCATGTCCTGAGCGGAAGGCAAACACTTAACTGACTGAACCATCCCGGTGTCCCTATGGTGTTTTACTTTGTAGCAAATCAAAACTTAATGACTCAAAACTCAAAATATGGCTAAAAACAATAATCACTTAACAGGTCATTTTTTTTCTCTGGGTATGGATTTCTGGAACAGTTTGGCTGGACAGCTCTCCATGTCTTTCAGGCTGGGGTGGCAATTATTGAAGGCTTGACTGGAGCTAGATGATTTACCTCCAGGGTGACTCACTCATATGACTGCCAAGTTGATGATGGCTGTTGGCCGGAGGTCCCAGTTCTTCCCCATGTAGACCTCTTCACAGGGCTACCTGATTGAACTCTTACATGAAGCCTGACTTCACCCAGAGTACATGATCTAAGCATGCAAAGCAGAAGAAGCAATGCCTTTTATGATCTACTTAAAAGTTAGATGAACTCAATTCTGACATATTCTACAGGTCACACAGAACAGTCTGTTTCACTGTGGGAATAAACTACATAAGTACATTGATATCAAAAGGAAAGACTTCATTGGGGCCATCTTGAAAGCTAGCTGTTGCTAATACCTGCAAGTGCTTTGTAAACTGGATAACGCTTTACAGATGCTGAATGGCATTTTATACATACAGTGACCTACTGAACTGAGACTTTTACCTAAATAACTGCCTTTTTTACCGTACTTAAAATGTCCCCACATAGGAATTTACTTAGCAGCATAGTATAATGCAGTGATTATCAATTCATATGCCATGATACACTTTAGAACTTCTAGCCTCACAAGTGTACCATGACATTTAGCTCACTATTTAGCTTATTCCTGCTACAAGTGAAGTTAGTTTACTGTTAAAGTGATAACTTTCGGAAGCAACTTCAAACTGAGTTCTATGATACCATGTATCATTAGGTATATCTTGACGCAAGAGATAAATGGTAAAAGGATGGCATTTTGTGAAATGTATGAGAATTTTGCCTACGAATGTAACAGAACTCAATAAAAACCCAGTGACAAAGAGCTGGAAGGTGACCAGTAATAGTTATGTGATAGCTAAGGAACAGAACTGTCAGTTTTCTAAGAGTTTTGGAAATGTAAAACATTTCAGCCTTGCAGCAACCCAATGAGTAGTCCTATTACAAATGAGGAAACTAGGAATAAAAACATTAAATATTTTGCCCAAGTAATAAATCTAGTGACTGAATACTTGTGAGGCTAGCATTCAAAAGCAATTAGTCTAGATCTAGAGCAAGAATTCAATCTTTACTCTGTATTACCTTGACTAAACTATGAACCTTAGTATTCTGCTGCCTTCTTCACCACAAATGAATATTGTTATCTCTTAGAAACATGAAATGCTTCAGCTCAAAACCTTAGAATTACCAGTTTTTTCCTCTACAACCCATATGCAGTCTGTCAGCAAATCCTATTGGCTAGAAGCCAAATCTTACATAGCTATCTGGATAACTGCAACAATTCTTTCACTGAGCTTCCTTTTTTTGCTCTCTAAATCTATATTGTGGTCTCTAAAAACAGCCATAGTGAACTTTCTAAAACATTGTCAGATCATACCACTTTGCTGAAAACTACAATGGCATATATATATATATATAATGATTTTTTTTTGCAGTGGCCTTTCAGTGATGTCTTTTAACACTCTGTTTTGAAGTCCTACCTTATCCCCTTTCCCTACTTTATAATCGCTGTAGCACTTAATAGTATGTATCATAACGTATTTTATTTCTTTCCGTTGGAAAGCATGGATCTTTGTCTTTTTCCCTGCCGATTTCTCAGTCTGCAACGGAGCCGGGCACATAGTAAGTGCTCAATATACATTCGATAAGTCAGTGAGTTATGTGTGTAACGTGTTAATATGCATGAAAACTTATGAGAAAGTTGAGTACTGCTCAAAATTAACACTTAATTGAGCACTTACAACGTCTTAACTTTCTGGGTGTTTTTTTTAGTCGTCACAACCAGTTACGATGTAGCTTATTATTACCATTTTATATAGTAGAGAACTGACGGCCAGAATTCTGTTCCACGGCACGGAATTCTTCAGTTGACTTGGATTTTGTTTCCCGGGAGTCCTTCACAAAGGACTGAATTGAGAAAGCGTTTTGACCAGCCCTGAAGAACTGGGCTCTCTTCTAAGTAACCGGCGATTGCGACGCTAAGCGTCCATAGCAACCATCGCGACGGACGCCCTTGAGCAAGAACCAGACAGCGAGATCAGCGATTAGGTCAAGTCTTCCACACTCACACACACCTATTAAAATCCCGAACTCAGAACATTATATCAGAACGCTGACCTGTCCCCCATACTGAAGGGAATATCTATGTTAAAACGGTAACAGGGTGACATAGTCAACCGCTAACACACACCGCTTCCGGCACCAACAGACTACGGCGTGACAGGGCGGGGACGGCGCAGAAAAACCAACGAACTAGGCCCCGCGCAGCTTCCGTAGGGCGGGCTCTAGCTGGACTTAACTCGGCAGCACCCAAGCCCAAACCGGAAGTGGGGCGGAGCTAATAAAGCGCAGGATCTCACTCAACGGAAGTGGCTGTTGGAGGTATTTAGGTAGCTTTAAATTCCTGGTGTCGCGGAAGCTCGCCCCTTTCAGTTGGAGCCGAGTTTCGTGAGACGAATGGCGGTGGACGTGAAGTCGCGAGCAAAGCGTTATGAGAAACTGGACTTCCTCGGGGAGGGACAGGTGAGGCTCTCGGATGGGATTCGCAGGGCTCTGAACGGAGAACGCCAGGCCGCCTCACACCCTCACAGATTCTCTGGTGGCGTTGAGAGGACTAACCTGGCTACTCCTTTTTGGACGAGACTGCCCAGACGCACCTGCTGCCCCTGTGTGTACCCTGGAGGGGAGCCCCTAAGCGGCTCTGTCCTTTCTGAGGGATAGACTGGAACGGGAGGTGGCCTGCCTCACCACGTTCCACGCCGCCGCGAATCCGCTCCAAGAACCCCGAGGTCTTTGCTTCTCCAGATCTGAAGAAGTAAAAAGGCAAACAAAAAAGCTCCCACAAACTTAGATTATTTCTGTTTTTCTCTCTAGTTTGCCACGGTTTACAAGGCCAGAGACAAGAACACCAACCAAATTGTCGCCATTAAGAAAGTGAGTTACTGTCTGTTATTTTTCCTTCAGTCTCTGAAGATATCTGTATGTAGGAGCTGATGCCTGGGCTTTGTACGACTCTTGACCGTGCTCTGCTAATGAGATATTTATGTCATTTTCAGAGAAAACGGAGTTTATTAATGTCTGTGTTCTAGGATGGAACTCGGGTTGAATTAGTTTTGTTGTTCCATTAATTAGAATGGAAATGAGGAGGAAGCTATATATTATGTTTGCTTTATAACTTCAGACGTAGGCAAGGGGAGCAAGTACCCATCTGCTGGTTCCTCAGAGCTGTTTAATGCCGTGATCTTCCCAGGTCACGTTTTCTGCCACACCTGCATTCGTCATGTGTATCCTCTGCATTTTCTGTGTACAGATTTTCCTTGAAAGGCTTTCATGAGCATTAACATTGATGTGCCTTTAAAAAAAAATGAATTTAGTAACTTTTTTACTTGCATTCATTCACGAAACTTGGGTCGTATGTAGCTAATTTTTTACAAGTCAGGCATCTTCATTTACTTTCTTTTCATTTAGCCCTCCATATAGGCAAATGAAGTAGGGAAGATATCCTTATTTTACACTTGAGATACCTGAGACTAAGAGAGATTGAGTAATTGTCAAAATGACACAGATACTAATGGCTAAAACTAGCATTTAAATCCAGGTGTTTCGCTGCCAGGTTGCTTGTTCTTTCCTGTGCTGCTGAAGTCAGCAATCCTCTCAGAGGTTTTTGTCGTACCTCAAGTTCTCTTGGTGGGGTAGGTGACCACCTCCTCCATTCATTCATTCATTCATTCATTTATTCATTTATGATTTTATTTCTTTATTTATTTGTCAGAGAAAGGGGGACAAAGAGCGCACACAGGGAAGCAGCATGCAGCGGGGGAAGCAGGCTCCTCCAGGAGCAGGGAGCACCACATGGGGATCCATTCTAGGACCTTGGGATAACGACCTGAATTGAAGGCAGAGGCTTAACCTAGTGAGCCACCCACGTGTCCTTACCTCCTTATTGTTCCTGTTGCCATTTGAATCTGTTTTCTCCTTCAAAATTCCTAACTCCTTTGAAGCCTCATTTTAGACATTATCTAGTCTTTCTGCTATAAAGTTTTACACTTGTTTATTTACTAACACGTTTAATTTTACAAAAAATAAATTTCCTGTATTTTTTCACCTATCGTATCTTGGAATTTTAAACTGTGTTTAGAGGGATAGGGTGCCTGGGTGGCTCAGTGGGTTAAGTGTCTGCCTTCCACTTGGGCCATTGTCTCAGGGTCCTGGGATCAAGCCTTACATCTGGCTCCCTGCTCAATAGAGAGCCTGCTTCCCCCTCTCTCTCTGCCTGCTGCTCAGCCTACTAGTGATCTCTCTTTGTCAAATAAATAAAATCTTTAAAATTAAAAAAAAGTATGTTTAGAGGTAAGTGGAATATTTCATTTCTTTTGAAATTTATAAAAAATAAATTATCATTGATGTCTACCTCATCTTTTTAAAAAGATCATACTCAATTTATGATTCCCCATTTATTTAACCAATCCTCTATTGGTGGCCTTCGAGATTATTTCTCTCAATGCTTGGCTGGCTGCCCATCCACCCCCACATACGTAAATATTCTTTTCCAGTTTGTCTTTCTGAATCAACATTAATTTTTTTATTATTTTTTTTAAAGATTTTATTTATTTATTTGACAGAGATCACAAGTAGACAGAGAGAGAGGAAGAAGCAGGGTCCCCGCTGAGCAGAGAGCCTGATGCGGGGCTCCATCCACCACCCTGGGATCCTGATGTGAGCCCAAGGCAGAGGCTTTAACCCACTGAGCCACCCAGGTGCCCCTCAACATTATTTTTTTTTAAAGATTTTCTTTATTTATTTGACAGAGAGATCACAAGTAGTCAGAGCAGCAGGCAGAGAAGGGGGAAGCATGCTCCCCGCTGAGCAGAGAGCCTGTCGTGGGGCTCCATCCCAGGACCCTGAGATCATGACCAGAGCCGAAGGCAGAGGTTCAATCCACTGAGCCACCCAGGCGCCCCCTGAATCAGCATTATTGCTGAAATCTTCTACATGGATACATGTAGATACGGTTTAGTTCTGATCATTGATGATTAGATTCCATCATATAATTACACTTAAATTTGCCTGTCAAAATCTTGTTGATGTACACTTAGTCTATTTTGTTGTTTTTTTTTTATGTTTTCCCTTAGTATAGTCCTACAGAGATGCTTATTCATGTCAGTTTCTTTAGAGAATATATCCATATTTGAAACCATCTGTGAATTGTTGCTGTTTTAGGGCATATATAGCATCACCCTCACCACATATTGTCAGATTGCTCTTCAAAGTGGTTGGACCAGTTTAACCTCCCTCCACATTCTTACCATGTTTGTATTGTCAGATTTTACAACATCTTTCAATTACCTGGATCAAAATTGGTATATGATTGTTTCAATTAATATTCCTCTGAATACCAGTTAGATTGATCATCTTTTCTTAGATTTATTGGCTTTGTAGACTTTTTTTCTACGTTTTTCTGTTAGGGTGCTTAAATTTTTTTCTTCTTATGGATTAGTGGAATTCTTTATTATATTCTGAACATTGATCCTTTGTCAGAAATTTGCAGTGCAGGTATCCTCTCCTAGTCTTTGGCTAGACTTTGTTCATATATGGTGTCTTCTGGGGCACAGAAATGTATAGTTCTGTTCTGGTTGAGTTTATCCATTTTTTTTTCTTTATGGGTTTCCTTTTTATCTGCTTGCCGTTATGAAGGGTTCTATTTTCTTTCTTTCTTTCTTTTTTTTTTTTTTTAATTTTTTTTTTAATTTATTTGACTGAGATCACAGGTAGGCAGAGAGGCAGGCAGAGAGAGAGGAAGGAAAGCAGGCTCCTCGCTGAGCAGAGAGCCCGATGCGGGGCTCGATCCCAGGACCCTGGGATCATGACCTGAGCCGAAAGCAGAGGCTTTAACCCACTGAGCCACCCAGGGGCCCCGAAGGGTTCTATTTTCTAAAAATTTTAAAGCATTGCTGTTCACATTTAGGTCTTTATTTTATCAGGAATTAATTTTTCTATTTTGTGTAATAGGGTGATCCAGTATTTTTTTTCTTGCCGTCCCAGCATTACAGATCGTCTGTCCTTTTCCTGGTGGGTTGTAATGCCAAGTTTGCCTTCAGTTGTAATGTGAGTTCCAGTGTATACTTGGATACATTTCAGGGCACACTATTTTTTTTTTCCGTTGGTTGATTTTTTCCATCCCTGCTCAGATGCTATAGTGTATTTAATTACTACTGTCTTTCAAAACCCTTGAAATCTGATAAGTTAAACATACCTGTTTTTCTTCAAAATTATCTTGGCTACTTTATCTGCCACTTGGGAAATTTCAAACAATCAAGAGAATTCTATATGAACTAGGTATTACATACTGCTATGGCATTATTATTAATTTTGTTAAGTATGAAAATGGCAGGGCACCTGGATGGCTCAGTTGGTTAAGCAACTGCCTTCGGCTCAGGTCATGATCCTGGAGTCCTGGCATCGAGTCCCACATGGGGCTCTCAGCTCCACAGGGAGTCTGCTTCTCCCCTCTCATGCTCTCTCTCACTGTCTCTCTCACAAATAAATTTAAATTAAAAAAAAAAACAATTAAAAAAAAAATATGGGTGCCTGGGTGGCTCAGTGGGTTAAGCCTCTGCCTTCAGCTCAGGTCATGATCTCAGGGTCCTGGGATTGAGGCCCGCATTGGGCTCTCTGCTCAGCGGGGAGCCTGCTTCCCCCTCCCCCTCTGCTTGCCTCTCTGCCTACTTGTGATCTCTTTCTCTGTGTCAAATAAATAAAATCTTAAAAAAAAAAAAAAAAGTATGAGGATGGCATATTGAATATGTAAGAAAATGTCCATGTTTTAGAGATGCCTACTTAAATACATGGGGATGAAATGACATGAAATCTGAGGTTATAAAACATTTTATTCAGCAGAAAAGGGAGGATGAATAATGAAGTAAGTGGGGTAAAATATTGATAGTTGTTTAATCTGGGTAATGAAGTAGATGGCTTCCTGAAACCAATGTATTTTTATTTTGTTTACAAAATGTAAAAATTTTTAAAATTGTTCTTCGATCCTTTTCCATGTAAAGTTTAGAATCAGTTTGTCAGTGTTCTTTAAAAAATGCTGTTGAGCTTTAGATTTGATTGCATTGAACTTAAAATTGACGTATATATGATTACTGAGTCTTGCTATCCATGAGTGTGTTTATTTTGGTCTCATTTTAAGCATGTTTTTATATCATTTTATTACGTAGTTTTGGAAAGCTTTGCACATCTTTTGTTAGATTTATTGCTGAGTGCCCTATATTTTTTAGTGCTATAGTAGTTTACCTTTAAGTAAAAAGTTGCGTTTGTAGTATACAGTTGGAAGATACATATATTTATACATTTACATCTTTTAATCTATTTTTATCATTACCAAGAATCTTATTTTTTAAATTTTATTTCTAGCATACCTAACATGATGTGTTACATTGGTTTCAGGTGTACAATACAGTAATTCAGCAAGTCTATATATTAGTGCTCATCATGATGTGTAGTCTTAATCCTCTTCAGCTATTTCCCCCAACCTCCCCCCACCTCCCCTCTGATAGCCACCTGTTCTCTCTAGTTAATGGTTTCTTGGTTGTCTCTTTCTTCTTTGTTAGTTTGTTTCATTTCTTAATTTCCACATATGAATGAAATCATAGGGTATTGTCTTTCTCTTATTTCACTTAATGTTATACCTCTAGATCCATCCATGTTGTCGCAAATGGCAAGATTTCGTTCTTTTTTGTGGCTGAGTAATACTCTATTTTAATATTCTGTTTGCTTTTGTTAATAAGGCTGCAGTAAACATAGAGGTGCATATAGCTTTTGAATTAGTGTTTTTGTATTCTTTGGGTAAATGCCCAGTAGGGGAATTACTGAATCATATGGTAATTATATTTTTAGTTTTTTGAGGAACCTCCATACCGTTTTCCACAGTGGGTGCACCATTTTGCATTTAGCTGGGGGATTTTTTTTTTTTTAAAGATTTTATTTATTTATCAGAGAGAGGGAAAGAGAACGAGCACAGGCAGACAGAATGGCAGGTAGAGGCAGAGGGAGAAGCAGGCTCCCCGCCGAGCAAGGAGCCTGATATGGGACTCGATCCCAGGACGCTGGGATCATGACCTGAGCCGAAGGCAGATGCTTAACCAACTGAGCCACCCAGGCGTCCCATTGGGGGATATTTTTAAAGGTAGAATAGCTGTGTTTTTCCAGAAGTAATTGTTTTGGGCTTTTTTTTTTTTTTTTTTTTAATTACATGTAGTCATTGTATAAAGCAGTGAGTAAGAGACTGGTGTAAGCCTAAACCTATCAATGCAATTTTTTTTTGCTTTTTTTGTTTTGTTATGTGTATTAATGGTAACAACAGTTTAACCATTTTTTTGTATCCATCATAATTTGTAATTTTTCTTGGGAAAATGTGTTCCCTAAGAACATGTTATTGGACATATTAAACATGTTATTTTATGTTTGTATGTCATATGTTTCCTCCCAAGTAGGCCAACTTGAAGTGATTTTTGTTGTTCTTGTTTATTAGTCAGTATGCCCTCAGTAACTTTTCCACATTTAATCTTGCAGAGATAAAGGAGACATTTATTTTCTTAATTCCATTACTTGAATGTAACTCAAAAACTTAAGGGGCAAGGCATGATAGGTACTTGGTCCTTTCTTATATTGTATTTTGCCTTTCAGATTCATGATTTCCCACTCTATTCTTGCTTACTGGCCACATATAAGTTGCTACATATTTTTGTTGTGGCTAAGTTTCTGAAGTGTTTATATGTTATGCAGTAAGTCTAAATAACACATTTTTAATGTGTTTGGGTTTTTCCCCCCCTACCAGATTAAACTTGGACATAGATCAGAAGCTAAAGATGGTGAGTACTCAATATAATCTGACAGAACAGGAAAAGGTTTTATTCTCACTAAGGAAGTTAGCAACGTATCAGTGTTGAGTGGTTTAGATAGGGTTATTGCAGGGTGCTAGAAGAGTAAACTCAGCATAGAGAATCAGGATAGAGACAGGATGTTTGTGATATCCACCATTTGGATATTAAGAGCCCTATAACCAAGTCATCTGAGTAAATGTAAGGCAACAAGGTTATCAGTGGCTTGCTTGTCTTGCTGTCTTCATCATTCTTTAAGGTATTGTTGCAAGCACTCTTTTTTTTTTTTCCTCTGAATTGATCACTTTGAAAATTCAGGATACAACCTCATGGAAGTACGGAAAGCTCACACTGAGATAGGTGAATGGAAGAAAACATGTTTTTACCTTTCCTCCATAGCTTTGTGTGCTAGCATGTTAAGTCTTATTTAGTCATCAAGAACTAGTTTTTATAAAAAGGATCCATCTTCTATTTAACAGATAGTACCAGATCTTGTTTTTAATTTTGAGTTCTGTCCTTTGTATTGGGAATGATAATAGTCTTACCACTATTTTGCTGTTAGCATCAAGAATCTGTTCCTAATATTCATAATGCAAGAAAGAGGAAGCTGTTGACTTATTTATTGCTTTAATGTTACACACTGTCACATTGTTATTCCAGCAGTCTTCTCAAGGGATATGCTACAAAGTGAATACTTTTTTTCACCATTTATCATAGTGATTTTAAGCTATTTTAAAAATAAAGTAATATAAAATAAAATCAGATGTCAAAAAAACTGTCAAAATGGCCCTTATTTTTCTGTAGGATATTCACTGCTATTTCCTGAAAGACTAACCTATCCCAAAAAAATATGTTTTTAAGATTTGAGATGTCAGAGTTATTTTTCACATTTTGCTTTGCCTTTTCATATAGGTATAAATAGAACAGCCTTAAGAGAAATAAAATTATTACAGGAGCTAAGTCATCCAAATATAATTGGTGTGAGTATGATTTAAATTGTTTCTGGGATTTGGGACCCTGTCATTTCTGAATGTGGTAGTTGTTGATTGAAGGCTCAGCAAGATGAATTGCTTTAGGTGAACCTTGTAAAAAAGCTTAAAAATTTATCAGGCTGATAGGTATTTTCTGTTCTAATTGATTCTATAGGCAGTGTCTTTGTTTTTAAAAAAATTTTAAGATTTTATTTCTTTTTTTTTTAAATTTTATTTATTTATTTGACAGAGAGAGATCACAAGTAGGCAGAGAGGCAGGCAGAGAGAGAGGAGGAAGCAGGCTTCCCTCTGAGCAGAGAGCCCAATGTGGGGCTCGATCCCAGGACCCTGGGATCATGACCTGAGCTGAAGGCAGAGGCGCAGAGGCTTTAACCCACTGAGCCACCCAGGTGCCCCTAAGATTTTATTTCTTTATTTTGACAACATGAGAGAGAGAGAGAGAGAGAGAGCGCGCCACACTCAAAGCGTGAGCACAAACGGGGGGCGGTGGGGGGTGGGCAGAGGCAGAGGGAGAAGCACACTCCCCGCTAAGCCAGGAACTCCATCCCAGGATCCAAAGGCAGACACTTAACTGACTGAGCCACCCAGGCATCTGTAGGCATTGTCTTTGAAACTCTACAACTGATGGAATAAGTTTAATATGGGCATATGGCCTAATTTTGTGAAAAAATCATTTTGAGGGCGCCTGGGTGGCTCAGTGGGTTGGGCCGCTGCCTTCGGCTCAGGTCATGATCTCAGGGTCCTGGGATCGAGTCCCGCATCGGGCTCTCTGCTCATCAGGGAGCCTGCTTCCCTCTCTCTCTGCCTGCCTCTCTGCCTACTTGTGATCTCTGTCTGTCAAATAAATAAATAAAATCTTAAAAAAAAAAAAATCATTTTGAAGCCTCGAGAGCCCTAGCATATATAAGACCTTGAGGAAGCTCCCCTGTAACTCGGTGTCATACTCCACCTCCAAGAGTTGTAGTAAGACTAGTTCATTGATTGATTGCATGTGAAGTACCTGGAAATAGAGCCTGGCATAGAGGGTGCATATAAGGAATGATAGCTACCACTTCTATTTATAGGATTTTCTTAAATACTGAGCACCGAATTGCAGACTGAGGTGAAGTTTTCATTAATTTATTTCTTAACTATAACTCTCAAAATTTTGGAGGAAAGCTTAAGTATTTAGTGACTTTTTAAAAATACTAAGGTTTAGGCACAACTACTTGCTCAGTTGGTTAGGTGTCTGACTTTGGCTAAGGTCATGATCTTTGAGTCCTGGGATTGAGCCCAGCATTAGGCTCCTGGCTCAGCGAGGAGTCAGCTTCGCTCTCTCCCTCCGCCCCTCCCCCTGCTTGTGCATGCTCTCTGTCTCTCTCTCTCAAATAAATAAGATCTTTTAAAAAATACAAAGTTTAGTATTTTTGTGACTCAAATTACTAATTCCTAGCAATATAAAGGATAAATGTCAAATTTAATAAGATAATTCAGATTTAGTTGGGAATTGTCAGCAGTCCAGATACTTGTTTAAATTTTAAGAATTACTTTAGTTGGTATAATCTTTTCAAATATTATATGGAAAATCACATTTTTATTTACTTATTTATTTTTTAATTTTGCTTTGCAGCTCCTTGATGCTTTTGGACATAAATCTAATATTAGTCTTGTCTTTGATTTTATGGAAACTGATCTAGAGGTAAGATTAAGATTCCTAGAGGACTTTCTTTTCTCTTTTTATCAGAAGAGAACCTTATTTATTTGCTTTTTTCTTCTGAGTCATTTAGCCATATTCCCAGTGTTACATACAGAGATTTGGATTTCAGAGCATTTCTGTCTACCAAGTTCCCTATACCTTATTGACATTACTTTTAGAGAAATTAATATTAGGCCTTTGAGAATTTAGAGTTCCTTTTCCATATTATCGCAGAATATCCTCCTTTTGAAACCCAAGTTTTTTATTTTACTTTTGAGAATATAAGATCTTGGGCTTTTCCTTAATACTAACTGAATCTCAGAAACTGACAATCCAGGGACGCCCGGGTGGCTCAGTGGGTGAAGCCTCTGCCTTCAGTTCAGGTCATGGTCTCAGGGTCCTGGGATGGAGCCCTGCATTGGGCTCTGCTCAGCAGGGAGCCTTCTTCCCCCTCTCTCTCTGCCTGCCTCTCTGCCTCCTTATGATTTCTCTTTCTGTCAAATAAATAAATAAGATCTTTGAAAAAACAAAACAAAATCAAAAAGCTGACAATCCAGGGATGTTGAACAACTAAAATTCTCATACACTGCTGGTGAGAATACAAAAAACATTAAATACACAGCTAAAGAATGATCTGGCAATACCACTGCTAGATATTTGTGTAAGAGACACCAAAATATGTCTACACAGAAATCATTTGGTACACAGATGTCCAGCTTTTTTCATTATTGCCGAAACTGGAAACAATCCAAATACCTTTTCTAGTGAATATATAAACAAACTGTGGCATAGCTGTAAAATGGAATGCTGTTTGGGGATAAAAAGTAATGAACTGTTCATATGTATAAAGTATAGAGGAATCTCAGATGTATTATGCTAAATGAAAGAACTCAAGTTCAAAATGCTATATATTGCATAATTCCACTTATATGACATTCTGGAAAAGGCAAAACTAAAGAAACAGATCAGGTCAGTGGTGGCCAGGGTTGGGAGTAGAGGAAAGTATTAGGTATAGAGGGGCCTGAGGCGATTAGGGTGGGGGTGGGAGTTAAAGAACTTTATCTTGATTTTGGTAGTGGTTACATAACTGGATGTCTTTGTTAAACACCTGGCACTATGCACTTAAAAGGGCATATTTTGCCTAACTCTGACTTCTTTTTTTTTT